TAAAATACACATAGAGTTAAGACTCATTAATAGTTCAATAATAACTTCAATAACAAATATTTATGTCCATGCTTTTGGTTTGGAAGTACATTTACTATAATGGGGTCTATACATCTTGAGTAAATTTGGTCTAGGATCAGATTTCCCACTAAATATCTCTTTTTCCAGTTGGTTAGATTGGGAGATCTTGGCCATAATTTAGCTGAGAGACGTGTCCGACTGAAACCCATCCAAACATAGCTTGTTTCATGCGAGAGAAGGCCTAGTTTCCGGATGAATATGGCCTCACAGGGGGAGTAAAGATAAGCAAATGGCTGAACCCAAACACTTGTTATTCTGGATATCGCATGTCGGTTGGATCAGGGCAGCTTGCTGATGTCAGCCCCAAATAATCCTGGCTTTCTGCAGATTTTGAGCTGTATGATGATCGTAAAGAGTCAGATCATGATGAATAGTTTGGGCTGAAATGAAGAAGACAGGAATTGAGAAACGTTTAGTTTGCAGTCCGTATAGCAGTTGTATATTTCTTATTGGCATTTTGCCTCAGCATATTCTTTAATGTTATCACAAAAAGCTTTATTAGTACATATTTTTGCTGTAAAAACATGCATAAAGCATTGACTGAGGCCTCTTTAACTCACCCTCAATGCCTATTAATTTATCTATTTATTAACTTTGTCGAATGCTCATGTTTGTACTAGTGATTTTTAAATGTTTCACATGGGACAGAGCAAGGGTTTCTTTTTTTAGAGATGGTCTGTTGTTTCTGTTTTTTTAGAATATGCTTCATAAAGGAGGCTGTGGCTCAGTGGATGGTGTGCTGGACTTCGAATCAGGGGATAGCATGTTTGAGTCCCACTGCAGTCAGCATGTCGTTGTGTCCCTAGGCAAGACACTTCACCCCAAATTGCTCCTGTGGTGATTGCCCACAGTATTGAATGTTTGTAAGTCGCTTTGGATAAAAGCGTCTAACAAGTAACATGTAATGTAATAAAGGATCCCTTGTCTTTTGTCTCCAAACTGCAAATAAATAACCTGAACCTGAGTGGTCCTGAAACAGCTAAAAGAAAACATTCCTTTAAACATATCACTTTACATTTTGATTTTCCCAAATGTGGATCAATAAAGTATCTATCTATCTATCTATCTATCTATCTATCTATCTATCTATCTATCTATCTATCTATCTATCTATCTATCTATCTATCTATCTATCTATCTATCTATCTATCTATCTATCTATCTATCTATCTATCTATCTATCTATCTATCTATCATCATTTCATACATAACATCCCACCACAGTCCGTCCATTGGACCGATGCTCCAGCAGTCAGTCTGCTTGTAAGCCCATGTAGAGTGTGTGTGTAGAGTGTGTGTGACTGATAGGTGGGCTAATGTAATTCTGTTGCTTCCACTGTCATGGCGATGCACTGTTAATCAGGATTTAGGTTTCATGGCCACTGTCTGACTGAAACCTAATCCCAGTGGCTCAGCACGGAGACAAAGACCTCACACTGCACCGGGATATCAGGAGCACGCACCTGAACATGCAATAATCTGCAATTCCAGAATATTATCTGATGACCATTTCAGTTTCATGTTTTTTTTCTCTGCGTTCATTATGGGTGACATACATTCCCAATGACTTGTCATCGTCGAACAAACCTTCGTAGGCATTTACTCCCTATAGATAGGTAGATAGAGGGATATATATATATATATATAGATAGATAGATAGATAGATAGATAGATGGATAGATAGATAGATAGATAGATAGATAGATAGATAGATAGATAGATAGATAGATAGATAGATAGATAGATAGATAGATAGATAGATAGATAGATAGATAGATAGATAGATGGATAGATAGATAGATAGATAGATAGATAGATAGATAGATAGATAGATAGATAGATAGATAGATAGATAGATAGATAGATAGATAGATAGATAGATAGAGAGATAGATAGATAGATAGATAGATAGATAGATAGATAGATAGACAGATGGATAAATCATCCCAACATTGACTAATTTGGTATTATCCACTATTAGTATTATTCCTTTGCATGCCTACAACCTAATAGTTGTTTTCATTAAAGAGAGCTTCTCGTTATAGGAGCAATATAACAATGTCATCTCCATCATCTCCATCATGTAGTAAATCCTACAGTATGCAGCACTATAAAAAAAATGATGCAATATATAAACACTTATTAACCTTGAGCCGGAGAATTCTTCTTCAATTTATTTTCCATTTGCAGTTCAGTTTATATGAGGCATTACTTCATTACAGATGATAACGTGTAATCTAAAGAGGGGTGACGAATAAGGTCACAGATCTGATTTCCACTTGGCTTGATCCACCTGATAGTATCGCTGAGGCATCACATGACATTTCACCCCGCAGTGCAGAGGTCGCTTGGCTCCCAACAACAATATCATGTCTGTGAAATCTCTGCTCATTTCTGCACTATATAGCATGGGGAAATCGAAAGACTTTTGTAAGGTCCAGCGGATTTGTCAATCATGTTTTCAAAGTGACATTTACAAGAAGCAAGACTTTCCCGACTATTATATCTTCCTATAGTTGGCAGGTCTTGACTTGTTGACAGCTAGACGAGCTAGAATGTCACGATAATGGCACAAAAAGCTGCACTACACCAGGGGTCCAGGAGGTAGAAGAGCCGTGTATTGTGTGCAGAGATAAAGACAGCTGTCTGGCAGTAGAGCTATTCCAAGGCTCGGATGGCCATGAATAGGTTGAGTCATCAATACAAAATATTATAAACTGTGTCGGGAAATATTTGCAATAGCAGTGAATGCTTTTAGAAAGCAGCTCATCACATCATAGTCCACAGCCCAGTGTGAGATAAAAATATATCTTGTGTTTTGTGATCCACAAAGACAGCATCAATAAGAGCAAACAGATGGCCTACTGTACTTTAATGAATAGAATGTCCTCCAATTCTGAGCACAGGCCTACACGGGCAATTCACTACTGCATTACACATTCATACAAAATGGATAGTTATTGTGAAAATGAAGGCCTTTTTCGAATCAAAACTGCATGTGGGTGGTAGAATTAAGGGAGGGGGGGTTGAAGTGTGTTTAGGATTATCGACTGCTATTCTGTTGTGGCAGAACTTTTTCAGGCGAGCTGGAGAAGGAGTGACATTTTCCTTTGGATATTCATCAACGAGGCTTAATGGTTTTCATGAGCTTTTGCTGGAGATATTAAATCCTTTTTTTAACGATTATTTAATTAATGAAAGGGTGGTGATGAATGGCTCCCATTTGTTCCTCCTGGTAATGAAATGATACACACTTTTCCCCCTATGTTTTTTTAATTATCAGAAGAACATTCCCTGGTCTCTGGTGCATTCTGGGAACATTTTCATTATCTTGGACACAAAAGAAGCAGCCGCACCTTTGCAGAGGAGCAGACATGCCGAAACAGGTGGGATGGGATGATTTAGTCTATCACTGATTTAATATATGGCACCCATTATGTAATATGCATAATTGAATAAATGGCAGCCATCATTTATATCACATCTTACAATAGACTATGTGATGAGAGAATAGCAACAATAATGAAGCTTAAATGCCATTCCTGAGCCACTTAGGTCAGTGCAAAGTAATTCATTACATATAGCAAAACCATATATCATGTCTAAATGGTCAAGACCTTGACATTGACAAGTGTAAATGGCAAAGTGAATGTAATTGTACAGTCAAATTCAACTACAATAAGAGATAGACAGTTTATGTGATGACTATACCACCTGTTTTCATCCCTATTCCTAGTGGATAGTACCTTCTTTTTCACTGCACAAGGTGACATTGTTTTAAAAATAACCCATGGTGTCATTTTTACAACTGTTTGTCTTTCAGGATCAGAAACATGAACACCACGAGCAGAGGGATATCCAGCACATAATGTGACACCATTTTGAGAGCAGAGAGATTTATGATGGAGGAAACTGTGGTGTGTACACTATGTATGTTTGATGTGTGTGTGTCTGTGTGTCATTGATCGATGCAAGACAATCCCACCAGCGCTAATCAATAGCATGTACGCATAGCATGCCTTGGGTCAAAGACAGATGGTAAAAAACCTTGGTAGAAGAGTCAGCGTCAATTAACAGATGGATGAGAACGCTTTTCTTGTAAAACCCTTTCAGCAACAAATATTCATTTTATAACAGCCGTGGTTTAGCTTGTTAGTGTGACAATTGTTATAAAACAACACAAAGGTTTGGAGGTTCACAGGAACACATCAACAACTCAAAACTCAACAGTTTGCAACAACTAATCAAAACTAGTCGACAAAAGCGTTAATTTGTACACTCTTAGGTCATTGTATTTACTTGATTAGTCGAATCACATTAACATCAACATTGCACCAATCATATTGCACTTGTTATCTTTAAGAAATATCATCTTGCTCAATGTATCACCAAATACCATACAGTAATATGTAACCTCCTGTATGTACAACCAATTTCAACTCATTGTATTTTGCCAAAAAGGACCTCATATCAGCATGTGAACCTAGCACTTCATCAAGAAACAGTTGAACCCGTCACGGCAGAAAGATTGATCATTGAGTCCTATTATTTTCCAGGTAGCTTTACTGTATCTATCAATGCTATTGATCCAATGGAGGGTCAAATAAGCAATTTCGAGGAAAGAATAGTAAAACATGGTTATTGCTAGCCAAATGGTCCCAAAGAAATTGGACATTTGAAACATTGACAATATCATTTTTTATGATAAAGAACCCACCAATGGACAACACACTTTAGCCAGGAAAGAACATACACACATATAGAAAGCCTTTTATGAACACGCCCAAGAATCTGTTCCATCAAGCCAACTCACAAAGCAATCAAACATCAAAGATGGCGTACATTTCGATAGCCAAGTAACAAAATCGCTCTTTGCATTGTGAAAGCATGGCAAGCCGTTACTAAAACAAGCGACTTACGTGTTTTGCGGTGACCGTGCGTGCGCGTGGTGAGTGTCGTAGAGACCGTCTCCGTAGTAGTATGCTCCAGGGTCCACATCTGCGTAGAGTCATGCAGAACGGTTGGATTTGACGGTGAGGGGCTAGATGTCGCTGCTCCAATTACGAAGGTCGTCCGTGACGCCGCGGTGGTCGTAGTAAAAACAGGAGGTCCACGTCGATTTCCAGGATTCCTTGGTGTTACTTGGCTACCCGAGGCTCCACCTCCTCTAGGGTTTATGGTCGTGGTAGTAGCGGTGGAACGAGTTCTACCTTTGGCGGCAGTAACAGTTCTAGGTGTGGGGTTCCCTCCATCAACTGTAGGAGTAGTTGTGGTGGTGGTAGTGTCGGGACTTTTGGGAATCCCGCTTGGCTTGGACAGGAATATAGGATCCTGGCCTATTCGATTAGCATCCACCAGGTCTGTTGGCACGTAATCCCGCACTGTACCGACAACAATCCATTTCAGCAACATCAGGCTCAATCCAAGGCCAATAAAACCAATAAGCAAAGGGACCACACACAGCCATGTCTGCTGGCGAGGCCACACGGCACAGCGAAGGGGACCCTGATTCTGGGCCGGGCCTTCCCCTCGGCCCCCTGGAGCTCCTGGACCCTCAGGTTCCTCCAGGATCACCGCCCCGGACACAGCTGCCCCAGAACACTCGCTCATCCTTCCCTGCCGTCCTTTCTGGCTCATTGAGGGTTAACCCTGTGATAAGCATCCATAGCACATGGCAGAAAGGCTCCCAACAATGCGGGACAACGAGAAGAGACAAAAGGAAAGGTGAACAAATGGACGCTCAGTAACACAAATATGTAATCCAAAGATAGAGAGAAGAGGAGGGGTGCAGGAGATACATACAAACACGCAATCACAAACACAAGCACACACACACTCACATACAGAGACACCCAGTGAGAAATGGGAGAGGTGGCGTAGTCGGATAATCGACCGGTTAGTCCTTGTTTAGTCTTGCCCAACTCCCGATGTCCAACTGAAGTCGCAGTGAACTTCAATATCGTTCACAGCAGGGTAAGCCAGAGGAGAAGAGGAATAAGTGATGCTTCTAACAGGGAGAAGGAGGGAGAGGAGGGAGAGATGGGTGGGAAGGAACAGATTTACATCTGTGCATGTGAGGAATCTGTGGCATCAGTGTTCAGATGTCACTGCAGCAAAAAATCCACAGCTATTTCTACTTAACATGCATATATGTCCCCTCTAAGCACAATCCACAGAGGGTCAGTGTTGTCTAATGAGGGCAGAAAACTTGAAGGGTGGGTCTTGTTGCCTCCCTTTCCCAAGCAGGACCAAAAAAAGATTTCAAATGCTTCCGATGCAGCCCGATCCAACACCTTTAGCCGAGTCAGCGTCTCTTAGCTCCCAAATTCCCTCTTTCGTAACTGAAAGAGAGCAAGAGATGTGTGGTTTATGCGTCGGTCGAACGCTCTCCTTGGATTATCCACTATCTCTGTCGCCCGTTGCTTTTCAATCAGCCTCTCCTTTTTCTTGAGATTGTTTTATTTTTTTGTCTTTCACACTTTGATCTAATCCCACTTTCGCTTCCTTGTGCTCTAGATCCCAGTGAGGCTGAAAACGAAGATGTAGAATCCAATGAATGTTCCTGATCCAGTCAAAAAGCCACACTTTAGATGGGAACAGAGGTAGGGAGAGGGGTGGGGGGGGGTGTTGAGATAGAGGGGTGTTGTCGCGCAGTGGTATCACAGGGCGGATAAATCTGCAACTGCGACGCGTGATCCTGCTCCTTCTCCAGCCGGCTGTGGATCAGATTTCCCAAGCTGTCCGCTCAGCGTCCTGCTGTCTCTACACCGTCCGTTAATACTGCAGCAAGCACTCACACAGCCTCTTCTCATCTATTTGCAGGAAACATTCCGCCACATAGGGATACAAATGAATGATGAAGAGGCAGTAGGTAGATGGAATTAATTGAAACGGAAAAAGCAGAAAGCAAGGGATTAGAGGAAACACACAGGATGCTTTAATGTTTCAAAATATCCCGCTGGTTCTGTATTTTCCCTCTCTGAGAGCTGTGTTCTCCTCAGTCCTTTAAAGCCTGTGCTCTTTTCCTGTGAATCAGTGATTTGTTGGTCGGGTTGCTGGGATCCTCTGCTCGTCCTTCCCCTTTCAGGATGCTTCTTCTTGGATTAGAAACCTTGCGATGGGATGAAAACTTGTGAGGACAGCAGCCAAAGCTTCCTTCTTCCCCCCGTGGGGTTGGAAACATCCGAGGATTTGCAGCTGTCTTTACCTGTGGCGGTTTGTTATGCAGACGCACATACAGCTGCCTCCCTGAGCTGCCGCTGCTGAGAGACAGAGTACGAATGAGAGGGGGGGGGGGGGGGGGGAACGCAGGCACAGACAGAGTGTGCACCGTGGTGGAGCGACGGAGGAGAGAGAGAGGATGGAGAGAGAGGGAGGGAGGGAGGAGGAGGAGAGAAAGAGCTGCACCTGCTAGATGCACCAGCTCCGGGAAGCATGCCCACCTCCGCTATAGCAGGGAGGGGAGGGAGGGGAGATGCAGAATGCATACAGAAAGCCTGGTGGGAAAGGGAACAGGGAGTGGAGGTGTGTACAGATACAGATAATGAGAGAGGGAAGGGGAGGGGGGTTGGGAGAGCGCTGCAGAGGGAGATGAGGCTGTTACCATCGAGGAGTTTCAGCTTGATCAGAGGCACAATGCAGGAGCTGTCAATCACCAAGCCCCGCCCACTGCACGGCTGGGAGTAAATTAGGGAGGAAAGATGGATTTATAAATGTATTATTTAAGTGTTAGATATATATAGATAGATAGATAGATAGATAGATAGATAGATAGATAGATAGATAGATAGATAGATAGATAGATAGATAGATAGATAGATAGATAGATAGATAGATAGATAGATAGATAGATAGATAGATTACACAATCATTGCACTAGTTGCACACATTTAAAATATACAATAAGATACAAATCTAATAAAATACAAATAACATTAGACAGAAGTATATACAAATACAATAGAAAGGGCATATATCACTAAATAATACACAAACGATTGAATACATTGAATACTCTACAAACTACAATCTCACTAAGCTAAAGAAACAAATATATTACATTACATGTCACTTGTTAGACGCTTTTATCCAAAGCGACTTACTTCAGACATTCAGTACTGTGGGCAATCACCACAGGAGCAATGTGGGGTGAAGTGTCTTGCCCAGGGACACAAGGACATGCTGACTGCAGTGGGGTTTGAACCTGTGCCCCCCTGATCCGAACACCAACGCACTAGACCACTGCGCCTATATAAATATACTACTGACATTTATTGTCATTGAATGATATATACATTATAATTGTTGATAATGCCATGTTAAGTATTCATGTGGATACACTGGGACTTAAATAAAAACTGTATGTACAAGCTGTACTGTTCTTTATGATAGTGTCTTTGTGAGATATATGTTGGGTTGTTAATGGGATTTATGGCAGTTCATGTCCTTTTAATGTCATAGTGGTACCTTTTTTACTACATGTGATTTCCTTATCCAATTCCAGAATACATTATTAAAGCATATGGTAGCCTCCTTATTGAGTCATCTAAAATATATCAGTGATAAATGTATTTTTGAACAAATGCAGATATGAAATGTTATAATTGAAGCGCTCAAGTCAAGAGGAATTAATGAAGAGTCAAAACAGACAGAACCCAAAAAAGACTAATAATATTTTTGCATGTTTGTTTATTTTGACTTTTATGTTAATCAGCCGAACGGTTGAGCCTCAGTAAATCCAGTCTGAGTTAAAATCAATTTAACGGTGTACAGCAGACTGTAAAACAACATTTAAGATGCTTCTTGTAACACCGCGCTGCACTTCAGATTTATTTGAGTCTGCATGTTTTAAAATGTGTCTACCAGAACGAGATAGAAGCACAAGACACACATACAGTCCTGCAGAGAGCCATCTGCCTGTGGGAGAATCCTCCATTGGTCCCGTGGGGGAACTCAAAGCATGTTGTGCGTTTTCACACCTCTTTCTGTCGTTGGACATTAAAAGATATGGTGGCACCAGTCTGTTAAAGCAGCAGCCATGACACTGTGTTCGTCTGAAACACACATCAATAATCACACGGGCAAACAGCCACAGGGACGGAAATGAGATGCATAACTATCTGCACCTTCAATTAATGACACACAAAATACAGCAAGAACTGATGATACACAAGTCTCTTCAATCAGATAATATTCATTATTGCATATTAAAATGTGCATAAAAGTATGTTGAGTTCATGTGTAAATAATTAAGTAGTAAATTAAAGTACAACTTCTCAGATACTTGAAGTTGCAGAATAAACTGCTTTACTTCTAAAGTAGAACAGTTTTAATTGACTGAAGAAAAATCTGTCGACAATACAAACTGTAACTGTTCTTAATTAGAATATATCAGCATTATGGATTGATTATTTGTACTTACCTAGAGTAAGAAAAGCGAAGAACCAGATCAGCAAACTGCAGTAAATTACAACATGCATGGAGAGAACTGTGTTAGTCCAAGGATTGTCACACATACAGTGTGAATGAAAGGGACATTATTAAAGGGCTTATGTTGTCAATCTGACATTCCTAAATCCTGAATTAAAAACAGAACAAATGAAGCAAAGAAAGTGAAAACCATAAAGCAGATTCCGGTAGTAGGCTTATAGGAATTTTATAATTTTATAATCAATTTTTAATGGATTATAACCACCAGGAATGCTAATGGTCATCAATCAATCAATCAATCAATGTTTATTTATATAGCCCAATATCACACATGTTACATTTGTCTCAGTGGACTTCACAGTTTGTACAGAATATCAGTGACAATACGACCCCCTCTGTCCTTAGACCCTCACATTGTACAAGGAAACACTTCCAGAGAAACCCCACAGTTTAAAGGGGAACATGGGAGAAACCTCAGGGAGGGCATCAGAGGAGGGATCCCTCTCCCAGGACGGACAGATGTGCAATAGATGCCGTGTGTAAATCAAAGAGATAATACATTTACAACATAGGTAGACCAAATGTTTGGAAATGCATGTGTCTATAATAAGAAGATGAATCCACGAGGATGTCAACAATCCTGTGGGAGCCTTCAGGGAAGTAGTATGATGAGACCCAGGCAGGACCACAGTGACAGGTTCAGCCACAACTCGAAGTCCAGGACTCAGATCAGGACTCTAGTGGATCGCCGGAGCTGTAGATTAACATTAACATGCTTATTGTAGTTGTAAGTGACAATGCCTTGCGGCCTGTAGCACCATCCTTGATGGAGCATCTGTGTGGGCTGGACATACAGGAAAGGAGTGAGCAGCCTCACCTCTCAGACTTTCAGTTGCGCGCGCTACTAAAGAGACGCGCTACCATGGAAACCAAACAATGGTGTAGCTGTATTAAAGTCCGAGTGGAAACAGTCGTGAGTAAATCTGATTTTGTCAGAAATCAGGAGAATTGCGGGAGAAATATGACCCCGGGAGGAAACCTGGAGAGGGCAATGAAATCGGGAGTCTCCCGCGAAAATCGGGAGGGTAGGCAAGTATGTGCATGAGACCACTACAAGTATATTAGCCTAGAGAACAGAACAGCACAGCTACAGAGACATAAAAGCTGATCCACTCAGATTTTTATTAAAAAAAGTGAGATTTAGTAAAAAGAAAAGTGGGATTTTGTAAAAAAGTGAGCATTTTGAAAAAACTCATGTATTTGAGAACAATTTAAACTTTTGAACACAAATTGAGCATTTTGTAAAAAAGTGAGAATTTTGTAAACAATTGAGAATTTTGTAAAAAAGTGAGAATTTTGTAAAAAAAAAAAAGTCAGGAATTAGAGAAAAAAAACTGAGCATTTTTTTACAAAGTCAGGAATTAGAATACAAAAACGGAATTTAAAAAATAAGTCTGAATTTTCTGCAAGAAAATGAGAATTTGGAAAAAAAAAAAAATCCAACGAAATCTCATTAACCCTGTAAGGCCCACTGTTGTAATTTTTCAACATTACTTTAAGCTAAAAAGTCAGAAAATGTTTTTGTTTTTTTAAAGACTACTAGGGCTAAGTAAGCAATCAATCCTGCAAATCAACCCTTAGTTGTTCAATATATTTATTCAGACAATGTGAATAGAAATACAGGAATTCTGCTCCCACCTACAGTATAGGCCCAACGTTGCAATATTACAACATTTCCCTAAAAACTTACCAAAACGTAAAAAATGTGAAAACTCTTTAATTTCTGCTCCAGAGGCTATACAACAACATCTGAAAGGTCAAAAAAAATAAATTCTAATGTTTTTCTATTTTTGGGGCTTTACAGGGTTAAGCAGATTCAGGCAGGAGGCGTATTGATTACAGAACAGTACAGTTTACAGAGAAGAGATAACATCTGATCCTTTTACAACAAACTAACGCTGTAATACTGCTCCTCAATTTGTAATAATGT